AAAAAAATCCCACTGGGTTGTGAATCAGAAATTTCAGTCTCAGTGTGGCTACTTGGAGCTAAATGATCTTAAGGGAGTCACTTCTCTGGGCCTCAGTCTATTTATTTGCAAATGCGAGGTTTGGGGCCCTGGGGTGTTTTTGAGCTTCCAGAGTCCCTGAATCTAGGGAAAGCTGAAGCAGGAAGTACTCCTGTGACTCTTCTAGGTTGAAACAGTGGACAGTGAAGACACACACCTCCAGCTCCCAGTCTATCACCATATTCTCAGCCCCACCATCAGTTCACGAGAATTTTCTGAGTGTGTATCAGAGGAGGTAGTGTTGATGGATAGAACCCAAGATCTCACCTGCCCAGTTACATTCAAACTTCAGATAAACAACAAATAGCTACTTTAGTATAACTGTATCTTGTGTGCAATATTTGGGACAAAATACCTATAATCTGAAATTCAACTTTAACTGGACATTTTGTATTTTTATTTAAGGAAGCTGACAGCCCTACTGGACCTTAACTATACTTTAATTCTGCCACACTGTAACCTGGCTTGAGTCCAGGGCAAACAAGAGAAGTGCTGACACCTACCTCTTAGCCCAGAGGAACAGTGTGCTCCCAGTTGAAACAGTGTCTCAAACTGTCACCCTGGGGAGACTGTCATGGCATCATAGCTCACAGCAACCTCCAACTCTTGGGCTCAAACAATCCTCTTGCCTCAGTTTTTCTATTTTTAGCAGACACGGGATGGAGGGGGGAGTCTCGCTTTTGCTCAGGCTGGTCTCAAACTGCTGAGCTCAAGCAATCCACCCGCCTCGGCCTCCCAGAGTGCTAGGATTACAGGCAATGAGCCACTGTGCCCGGCCTCCCTGTTGGCTCCTAGGGACCGTTCAGGAAAAGTCTTTCAGGCAGCAACATGCTGGAGAAGCCCAGTGGCTTCTAGCTAGTGACGACAACTGTTAAGAATTTAGAAATTATTACAAATATTTTTTATTTAAAATACTGTGTTCAGTGAAATTAAAACCTTATTTAAAATGATGACATGGTCTTTGATCAGATTACATCTTATATCCTTGTATAGACAGAGGAAGAGACAGGCAGCATGTTAGATTTTGTAATCTGCCTTCTTTCACCAGATTGCTGGGGCACCTGTACAGAGTTATAGCAGAAATTCCTAGCCCTGGTCTATATTTCCAAGCCTCTCTTGCAGTTAGTTTGGAGCCACGTGACTGAATTCTGGCCAATGAGATGTGTAGGCAAGTAATCTATACAACTTCTAGGCCTGGCAGTAAAACTTACTGTCATGGGCTTGGTACCCTAGCTCAGTGGTTAGGGTGCTAGCCACATACACCGGGACTGGAGGGTTCAAAACCAGCCTGGGCCTGCTAAACATTAATGACAACTACAACAAAAAAAATAGCCGGACGTTGTGGAAGGCACCTGTAGTCCCAGCTGCTTGGGAGGCTGAGGCAAGAGAATCGCTTAAGCCCAAGAGTTTGAGGTTGCCGTGAGCTGTGACACCACTGCACTCTACTGAGGGCAACATAGTAAGACTTACTCTGTCTCAAAAAAAAATCACTGTCATGACTGGCCATTCTCTTGTTTTCCCATTTGGCGATGAACAAAAAATATGTAATATGGAAGCATACCAGGCACATGCATTTCTGCTGAAGGACGGCTACTAGGAGAGCCTCCTGACCTCGTGGGACTTGGGGCATGAACAGGAAAGACGTGCTTGTATCAGTTTGAATTTAATTGTTGCTGTAGCGTGGTTTGTCCTATTCTGGGCACAGTGATGTAAATAGAAAGATGCAAATAACTTTTAAAATAAAAATGTAAAAAGCAATAACAACAAAAAAAGACTTTAGAAATTAAAAAAATTAAAAGAAAAAGAATTTAGAAATTTTACTAGTGAAATTGGCCAGGGTGGGAGTATTTGCACCACTCAAATTGGCAAATGCTAAATCAGAACTTTTCTTGGTGGAGCGGAGAGCTGGTTTGCCAGGCAGACTATTAGCTTCATGCAACACTCAGGCAGGTGTCTGTGAGGAGAAGGCTGAGCTGCAGAGGATTTAGGCTGCATTCTCCCGCCACTGCCAGAGGTGGGTGGACAGCTCTCCACGAGGGCAATAAAAATCCAGACCTTTCCACCATGGGATAACAGTTCATGTGGCTAACATTTTGTCACCTCGATGAGTTTGGGCCTCTCAGAACACATCCCAGAAGACAAGGATCCAAGTTGCAACCGATGTGAACTTAGCCACCCCTTGGTTTTTTTGGCCAAGACCATCTCAGAAGGCAAAAACCCAATAAACAACAAGGAAAATGGGTGTATGGAGGGAGAAGGGTGGGAAATTCACATTTGCTAGAGCTCTACTGAATGACTATTGAGCATGCTGTTGAAGCATGGTGCTGTAGGCCTCAACTGCTGTCTGCGCTGCCTGCCCGAAGTGGGAGGATTAAACTAGAGGGTAGAACAGTGCCAGTGTGGGCCATCATCCTCAGCCGCATTGTCCACAATGGCCTGAATAGGAGCCAGAGTTCTCCCTTGGGAGTTGAAAGCCCT